AATAAAAAACAAGAGTTGCACTAGGCTTTCTCACAAGATTTGAGCAAGAGATCATCCATGGAAGAATCGGAGGATCTCCTACTAACATGTGAGTGAAGAACAATAGTTTGAGTAGCCCAAATCACAAGTATGACATCATCCATAGAAGAATCGGAGCACTACCTACTAGTGTGTGAGTGAAAAATCAAGACCTTGAGTATCCCAATAAGAAGAAGAAGATTGAGAAGAAGAAGGAGAAGAAGAAGAAGATCAAGAATAAGGAGAAGGAGAGGAGGAAGAAGAAGAAGAATGATAAGGAGAAGAAGAGGAAGAAGATGAAGTGGAAGAAGAAGAAGAAGAACAGGAAGAAGAAGAACAAGAAGAACAAGAAGAAGAAGAAGAAGAAGAAGGAGATGAAGAAGAAGATGAAGAAGAAGATGCATCATCTTCCTTCCACTCACCTTGTTAATGTCTTGGAGATGAAGAACAGGAAGAAGAAGATAAAGAAGAACAAGAAGAACAAGAAGAAGAAGAAGAAGAAGAAGGAGATGAAAAAGAAGATGAAGAAGAAGATGCATCCTCTTCCTTCCACTCACCTTGTTAATGTCTTGGAGATGGAGTCTCAATCTTGATGAGGTTTTCCTCCTCCTTGCACAACTCCTCCTTGGCTATGGTTCCCTCCTTCTTCAAGCCTCTCTCCTTCCTTTCTCACCTCTTTCCAGGTTGCCTCAAGCTCTCATCACCTATGGCTATGGAGTCCTCCCCTCTAGGAGGGCTAATGGGGCTCCCTCTAGCCTCTCTCTCTTCCTCACACCCAGGGGCTATGGCGGATCACCTCCCCTAGTGCCAGCCTCACTACCTCTAGTCTCTAGAGCTCCTCTCTCTAGCTCATGACCTCCACCAAACTCTCAAACTAGCATGGACTCTCCTCTCCTCTCTCCAAGTGAAAGAGTGCTCTCATGAGCTCACTTGGGCATCATGGGCATGCAATTGTGAAAGTGGCGGACTGAATTCCCAGCTTATGTAGGCTGAAACCAGCAGTTCGTCCAGCCCATGAGCCTCCTCATGAGCCTTGAGGTGAACCGAGGTACCCCCAAGGCAAAATTTCACTACTAGGTCTTTCTGGAGGTACCCGAGTCTCTTTTTGGCCAAGTACATGCAGTCCGAGTGGTTGGTACCAACTCGGATTGCCTCTTGGCCTACTCCGGCCTCCTTTTCATCTCACAAATGCTGCCCCCTTGGGTCTTAATGCCCAAGGGGCAATTTTACTTGAAAGAAAAAAGCCTTGTGGGCATTTTTCGCAATTTTTTCAGTTTGTACCCCATTTTTGGTAGGCCGAGATATTTTTTCATGCAGCGGCATATTTTCAGTCTTGGATCTGGCTGAGATCCAAGGCCAGCAATATTCCTTGTCTCCCCCAAGTAGCCCTTGCTTCAATTTTGAGCCCCTAAGTCCACTTTTTCAATTTTTGGTGCATCTGGCTCTCTTTTTGGGCCAAATGCACAGTTTTGTTATTTTCCCTCGTTTGTTTCTTTCCATTTTGGGTTGCCACCTCATTCCGGAGCTACCCGTTTTGAGCTGGCCCACAAAAAACGGCTAGTTCTTCTCCACCATGAGATCTGATCTCAGATCGATGATCCAAAAGGAAACCGGTCATTTCCTTTTTGCATTTTCTCTCATTTTCTGATTTTTAATTCATATTTGATTCAGATATGGCCCCAAGGGTCATATCTCTACAATCCGGATTGCCCTTTCTCATTCTAGGAGGGATGAGGTCACAGTTGGGACCTGCCAGTCCCTACTGTGCAGGTCCCAATAGGCCGGCACACTCTCCTCCACTCTTTTCTCCTTTTTTGTCTCATTCTCCCTCHTTTTTCTCTCATTTTTCTTTCTTTTTCTTTTATTTCWGTTGTGACAAGTGTCAAACTGYTGTGCACCCTCTTTCTAGGCCYTAGGGCCTCATTCAAGGCCAGGTTCATGGCTGTTACTTGGCTGTTACATCTCGGATTCCAATAATTGCACCCCCATGTTCCTGTCTCTTATACACATCTAGATGTGTATAAGAGACAGTCCCTACTGTGCAGGTCCCAATAGGCCGGCACACTCTCCTCCACTCTTTTCTCCTTTTTTGTCTCATTTTCCCTCTTTTTTTTTTTTTTTTTTTTTTTTTTTTTCCAGTTGTGACAAGTGTCAAACTATTGTGCACCCTCTTTCTAGGCCCTAAGGCCTCATCCAAGGCCAGATTCATGGCTGTTACTTGGCCGTTATATCTCGGATCCCAACAAGGCCAACCCCATGCTCCTAGAGGATTCCGTTTTACCTCCGTTTGTCCAATTTTGAGCCCCATTTGCTCCAATTTTCTAAGGACAGTCTTTTTCTCATGTTGAGTTTCTTAAGGTTTTTTTTTCTCGTGCCTAGCTAGTCCGAGATGTCTCGGACTGCTGGGCAACCCTCCCAAAGCCATTACTTTGCTTTCTTTTCTCTCATGGCTCTCCCACTTGCCCCCACTAGTAGTGGTGCTAATATTTTCCACCGTCTAGATCCTTGATCTCGATGGTGTCATTTGCTTGCACAATTATTCTTTGTGTTTGCTCATGGTTCCCTTGGGACATCCCAAGTCCCCGCCACTCTCCTCCATACTTGTTCCATTTTTTTGTCCCGTCGGCGGTCCCCCCGGCACGCGTCCCGTTTTTCTGACTTTTATTATTTGGGCCCACTTGGTCCCCGGCAACATTTCGGATGGTGTCCCATTTTTATTTTCGGGCCCCCCTTGCCCTTGGTGGTCCCATCCTCTCAACAAGTGTGCCAATTTTTCTAGGCCGTGAGATTTCATCTCACGGTTGTCGTTTACCGTCTCCATTTGCCCCCTACCGAAATTGTTTTTTTCTAGCCTTTAGGGATTGCCATGACTCATTTTCCCTTAGCCTAGGCATCCCCATGCAGTCCGTTATTTCTCGGACTGCAGTCATGGCCATCTTTCTAGAAGCGTTAAATTCTTAAGTGCATCCGGGCTCAATACTGGCTCCGGATGCACCTAGAACATGTGTTTTCCCTCCCCCATGCAGTCCGATGCAACTCGGACTGCAATAGGGGTCAATTTCCTAGCCCCAATGTCCCACAACTAGCCCCTACTCAAAAGAAAAAGAAACGGTCAATTCCCGAGTGCAACCGGACTTGATTTTGGCTTCGGATGCACCTAAAACATGTGTTTCTCCTCATGCATGTAATCCGTTTTATTCCGGTTGCATGGGCCCTTGATTTTCTTTGATTTTCTCTGCAAAAATCAAAGAAAATCAAAGTCCTTTGTAACAACCATATCCCAGAATGAATCTGATCACGGATGAATCTCCCCAAGCGGCCGTTTTTTACCGTTAAGACTTTTTTCTCTTTTCTTTTCTTTTCTTTTCTCTTTTCTTTTCTTTTCTTTTTTTTTGCTCCTTTCTTGGACAGTAGGGACCTGCCAGTCCTACTTGTGGCAGTCCCTACTGATGGCCAACTCACTCACTCCCTCTCACTCTTTTTGTTTTATTCTCCCACATTTTTTTTTTTCTCTCTTTTTTTTCTAGCATGCCAAGTGTCAAGTGGTCGTTAAGGCCCTTTTCTAGCCTCTTTCTCTTAGTTTTGGCCCTTCCTATGCCCAAAGTGCAGTCCGTTATATCTCGGACTGCAATGCTGGCCTTCTCGTGCCCATGGGAGTCCCCCTTTACTTCTATTTTTCTCCCATAGTGGCCCCTCTTACTCCGATTTTCTCCCGGAGGGCTGTTTTTTCACATAGGGTCTTTTTGACTCCATTTTCTTGAGGGAGGCTAATTCGAGATTTTTCGGATTGCTCTCAAGCCTCCCACTTCAATTTTCTTTACCTTTTCTTTTCATTTTGGCCTTCCCTTTTGCTACCGCTAGTGCTTGCACTAGTGGTGCTAATATTCTTGGCCGTCAAGATCGATCTTGACGGTGCACCTTGCCTTATTATTTTCCCTCATGCGGTGCCGCCGTTTCTTCTTGGGGCTTTCACATGTCCCCGCCTCTTGTCCCGTCGGTGGTCCCGATACTTAGTCCCGCCGGTGGTCCCCGATACTTAGTCCCGTCGGTGGTCCCGGACACTTAGTCCCGCCGGTGGTCCCCGACACATTTCGCCCCGGATGCCATTATTTTTACTTAGTCCCAAGTGGCCCCCGGTGCCTTTCCCCGAGGTGTCTCACGTCCCTTGGGCGTTTTGCCGCCCCATGGTGGCCCCTCTTCCTTGTCTTTTCTTGTGCCTTGTGCTCGCCGATTTCTTTGGTCGTGGGCCTCCGCTTCGAGGCTCTCGTAGGTGGCCCCCATGTTCGCCCCTCATTCTCTAGCTTCACACGGCCCCGGGGTCATCCATCTTTCGACTTCCTCATTCTTTGATCGTTGTTGTGCTGCATTTGCTGGTTAAAGGGCTCTTTGGCCTTAGTCTTTATTGCATTCCAACGGCCCTCCCGGCCTCATGCTACGTCTTATATGCCCCTGCTCCTGCGCTTATTCTCATGTCGTTGCTGGTTTTCACCTCCTGTGGTTTTTACCCCAGGACATTACTCTCTCCTGTGGCCTTATCCTTTGTCTTTTCTCTCTCCTACCGCCTCACCCTAGATTTCTCTGTTGTGCACAGTTCGTCCATATTCAATCTCTCGAGTGATGGGAAATTATTCGGGACCCACCAGTCCCGACAGCGGCACGGTGACAATCTTGTCGTCACCGACAGCGTCGACATCGGAGGGCTCCGTACGTCCTGACACGAGCCAGCGGTGGTGATTCCCGAACTCATTCGTTTTCGGCGTCCTCAATGAACCTGTTCCAGATCTCGACCTTCGCTCTTCCCTCTCTCTTCCCTACCTCCTGACAATCTAGTCTCTATCCCCGTCTCTCCTTGTGCTTAAAGCCCCTCACTGTTCCCCTCATCGAACCAAGACATTGGGGGATCTGGTGTGAGCACTACCTCACTCTTTCGCTGTTCTTGGTCGAAGTAGAGCTGGCGTGGATTCGGGATAGTGAGCATCGGGCCGCGAGGGAGAGCGTGGAGCTGCTAATCATCCAGGCCTGGAAAACAGAGGTGGAGGGAGATCTCCTCGGATTCGTCTTCGGAGCAGTAGAGTCAGGCCATCGCCAGATGATCGTGTGGAAACTCACGATCCCTCTTGCGCAGCTCATCGACGACCACCCTCTCGACATCGTATCGCAGTGTGACGAGAGCTCAGTATCGCACGTCCTTCCGCGGAGATTAACGTCGTACCTACAGTGGTCAGCCTGCCTGGAGGATCGAACGGGAGGTGGCAACTACCCATCGCGCGCAGAGTACCTGAACCCCCGAGGGATCATCAACGTCCTCTTCTTTTTGCCCCGAACGGCAGTAGAAGAGAGAGTCATGGTGGAGGAAGCGGAGGCAGAAGACGAAAGCGAGGAGGAGACCTCGAAAGAAACAGGGAGCTACAACGAATACAGCGAGGAGGAATTGGGAGAAGAAGAAGAAGAAGAAGAAGAAGAAGAGGATCAGTTGGAGGAGGAGGAGGAGGAGGAATCTGAGTGGGAGACTCTGGGTAAAGAGGCGGATCGCGCAGAGACTCGGCCGGCGAGAAAGGAGATCGCGGTCGGGAAGCAGCCGCTGGAGTTCGCAAGTGGTGCAAATCTGCCGATCTCGGACGACCCGACCAAAGATCCGGAGCCGCCTAAGAACGACGATGGGGACCCTACTGCCGAGACTTCGAGCGCACCGGCGCGCAGGCGACGGAGCCGATCCCGATCCCCATCCCCCGGTCCCCCAGTTCGAGCATGTGTCGATGCGGGGCATCGGGCTTCGTCCCCGGTCATTATCCCGCCGTCCCCTTGACTACCTCAGCCTCCGCCAAATTACCATTCCAGTCTCTTCCCCCCACAACCCCTTCCCTATTGACACCTTCCGCCACTTCTATGCCACCCGTCTCGCGGTCATGGTCCATCCGCACGCCTCTACTAGGTGCACCACCCCTGTCTTTTGTCTCCATGTCCTTCTCTTCAGTGCCGCGTGGCGAGGCCACAACATGATCGAGGTCTATTGCATGATTACGGGGACTATCCCTGCATGAAAAAACCATGATCAATTTCGGACGGCCCTCCTTTGCACCTTCACAACCCTCTATCCCGATTACCTTGCGTCTCTCCCCCATGGCGGAACCCGCTTCCCGCCATTCCATTGGATCGTCCGATATGAAGAGCTTTCAGTGACAGTCACGGAAATGGAACGTTTCCTACCCCCACTCCCGACTAACCCGCCCCCTCAACACACCCCCATGTATCGCCTCCCCTTTCCCCTCCCTAGCGGTCATTGATACACGGTTGATTGGCGAGTGCCACGACGATGGCACGTATAATTCCCTCCTTGGATTGAAGAAAGCCCTTCCTGAGGAATTGATAGGAGAGAGCTACGTTTGCCACACTAGATGACGTCCACACTCTTTCGCACGGTAGGTGGCAACGTAGAGAGCTCCGCGTATCGATCAATTAGAGAAATCGACACGTGTTGTACTGTCAAGCAAGCAGGAGTTTGCTTAAGATTGGAACCCCCTAGGCGTCACATATGTGTCACATATGTGACGAACCACTTTTTGTTTCGCGCGATCTTCTGCGCGATGACAACGAGGGGTCCTAAGATGGGAAGGTTGGGCCAATTAAGGGAGACAGGGGTCAAAGGAAAATTGCACCGGTGTCCTCACTTCTTCATCTTTTTGCGTCGCTTCTTTTCGGATGGTTGGGTTCAGGGCTAGGCAAGTCCAGGGATGATCGGTTGAGTGGCTGGCGCACCGACAGAGGCGCGATTGATAATGTTTGACGTCGCTTCTTTCTTGTTCTGTTGTCGGGATCCTCACGAGGTGGTCGTGCGGGGTGTTTTCCTTCTTTTTTAATTTCTTTTTTTAAATCTTGTCGAGCCCTCGATGGTTCTCAGAATTTCGGACTTTCTTTTCGGATTTGCGCTTTTTGCATTTTGCAGTAAGTAGGAATTTAGGAATTTAGGAATTTAGGAAGTTATTTTGCCACGCGGTGCCTTTTACTTGCGCGCTTCTTTTTGCGGCTGCAGCGCAGCTCTGATTAGTCAGCGCCCTTAATCTTGTGTGTAACTGTAATTTTTGGATAGGCGCCATTGTAACTGTATCTTTCTTTTTGAGCTTCGTCTTTCCCACTCTCTCTCTTCCCTTCTTGTTGAGTCTGGGTGGTCTGCGGGCTGCATGATCGGATCGATAAGTGGAGAGTGGCTACGTCCCCCACGCCGTGGTCTGGCCATGCAGAAGGTAGCCAATCCCTTCCCTTTTCTCTTCCAAGTCCTTGCAATTCCGTGTTCTTCGCTCAGACATACACACTATAAATTTCGGTTGCATGATTAGATAGCTCTCTTAACCAGTTGTTGGGCGCTCGGGGTAGCGCGATCAGTGAGGGTCGGCTCACGAGCGAAGTAAGAGGTGAGTTGAGGTGGGAGTCGGGCGACCCGACGAGCTGGTGCCGAATGCGCGGGGTTGACGTGTGGGGCTACGACGGACTGTAACGCGCGGGGGAACATGATGGGTGCAAGAGGACTAAGCGGGGTGACGACTTCGTGGGTTGGTGCGTGACGACGAGCTGTCCGCATCGGAGAGAGAGAGAGGGGAAGAGAGAGTTGAGGTTGATGGACGTGGATTTGCAATTTTCTTTGTCTTTTCCTTTACTTTTGTATATAATTTTTTATATCGGCTCGAGCGATTCGCTCTCACTTCCCTTTGGCATCTTTGTTTCAATATTGGTCCTGGTGTGATGTCTCATTCCGTCTCGGTCGTCCCTCTTTTGTGTGTATGGGATGAACGAGTTCGGATGGAATGATATGTTTGACGTTTTTGCTTGGTCATCATCGCTTGTCACTTTGATCCGCTGTTGTTATGGTATGAGTTCTGATGTTGTTCCGATGTCTGATGTGTGTGATGACACCTTGCATGCCCTGAAATGATCGCTGAATGATTAGACGATTGGGTAGTTATTCGTGACACGTGGCGATTTTGCATGAGGAATTAAACTCTCACTTTTGCGTAAGCGTTAGCCCACAGGCCCGGGTGCAAGCGAACACCTCGTGTGGATACGTGTAAGCGCGATATGACTTGCGCGGCCTACACGTGTCCACGCGCGGCGATTCACGATCATTGATGAACCTGGCACCCCCAGTATCCGGATACGCGGGGAGTTTTCCTCCTTTCAAGCACCTGAGCTGGCAGGAGTTTCCGACACCATATCTGAAGACCCCCCTGTCAGTCAGATGCGGGCGGAAGGCTTCCACTACCCCGCAATGACAAGATGACGTACACACGGGACTCAGGGTACTTCGAGCACTGGGAGGAATAATATCTTGGGAGGAGATACCCGGAATTTCCTTGTCTAACCGAGAACCAAATGTGCGCCAGGGAATTTCACCGTGTCGTGACCAGCGACCAGAGGTGCCCCGATTACCCAACTACGTACAACACACAATACTTCATATCCCCCGGCTTCGTCGTTATCTCTACCAATTTCCCTCCCTTCCACATTCTCCTCCCCTACCACCAGCTCATGATAGTTTCGTGGAACTCCATAGCGCCGTATTGGCCCCACACGCCGTGCAGAAATTGCAGACGTCGCGGCAACCGCCAAACCTCTGGAATTATGGAGCTTAACCGTTGTGGAGCGCATCGGCCTCCGCGCGAGCGAGGGCCCTCCCGACCATGTCGAGAGTATCTAAATACACTCTGTTTGGCTAGTAGGACACGAATTGGGTTGCTTGTGGCACCAGTTCCCCATACGTCAGTAGCTCCTAAAACGACCACCAACTCTCTGTAGGTAGGCTGTTGGACTCACTTCGGCCTGTCGTAGGGGACCGCGGGATGTATAGTTGGCGCACCCGGCTAGAGCGGCGAAGGAGCGATGCAACCTCGTCCGTCTCGGCGGTTCGCGGAAATGTTATGAGTCGTTCCCGAGTTGTCTCTTGGAAGTGTTTTGTGTTTAAATCTCCTGTGTGACATGGCCGGGAGGGCCCTCGTTTTCGCACGAGAGCCGATGCGCTCGACACTGTAACACGCGACGACAATCGACACGCGCTTGCACCCGGAGGTTTGGCTCATAGGAATCGCAACCCTCACGGACAGACCTCTCCCGAACCGCCAGGCGGATCGGACGGCCCGGGATGCATTGCGCATGCCATCTGCCTTATGTCGCACGACATCGACCGCCATCAGACCAAAAGCAACCCGTCCCTTAGCCTTATTGCGCCTATGCCCTTGAAACCTTGTCACAGGAGATCTCAGTTCTGACCTGAGACTCCACCCCCACTTTTCTAAAAATCTTTGGCACACCCCTTTTCGCACTTCCAGGCCCACATCCCACTCCGATCAGGAAGTCGCGTCGAGCATGAGGTTGGGCGTCACAGTGCAGCTCAGGGTGACCCTATGATTCATTAAACGCACACACACTCACTCTCACACACTCAGTCTCACATGCACACACGTGCACAAATACACACACACACTCTTGGAGTTGTGCACAGTGAATATGGCAAAACATAGAACACCGCATAATAATTGACTTACCGTGAGGGCACGGGTGTGCAGCCCGTAGTTCGTTTGTTGACGCGGTTGGGGAAGGGTGAGGTAGTTATTATGGTGTGCGTATGTTTTGCTATGTTCGTTGTACACAACTCAAAGAGTGTGTGTGGGGGGTTTCGGGTGGTGCTCTATTAGCGATGTTTATGGGACGTTGGACCCAGTTTCCAGCAGGTGCCGCTCCCCACCAATAGACAACAGAATGTGTGTGTGTGTGTGTGTGTGTGTGTGTGTGTGTGTGTGTGTGTGT